TATGTGTGTGTGTGTGTGTGTGTGTGTGTGTGTGTGTGTGTGTGTGTATGTATGTATATATATAAAATGCCTATACTTTTTAGCTATTTTTAATGGAAGGAATAGTAAGTTTACTTTATTTTTTCAGTAGTAGAAGTCCCTTTCCAGTTAAAAAATAGATCTAGTGTATTAATATTTTCATTGTGAAAATTTTAAAACATGCAAAAATTAGAGGTAATAGTAGAATCCAGCTTCAACAATTCCCAACATTCCTCTGTTCTTATTTAATCTGTCTTATACATGCATACAAACATATACATTTTTAAAATTGTTATCAGAAATATTTAATGAGTAAAAAATATAAATGATCTAAATGTTAAATATTAGAAAACAAGTACATCAATTATGGTTGACTGATATGATAGAATATTGTGTAGGTATTAAAATTGATGTTTTCATGGTTTTTTTCTTTTTTTAAATTTTTCTTTCAAGATCTAGTGTACATGTGCAGGATGCACAGGTTTGTTACAAAGGTAAACACAAATACACACATTTTTTACTGTAGTATGTTAAAGTATATCTCAGACAAGATTTGTTTTTACCTGTAAATAATTAAATAAATATAAGATAATAACATTTACAAAAAGTCAGACTCATAATACTATTATCCTTCCCAACAAAATAAACAATACTTTTAAAAACTATTTTATGTTTATTGACATACTTAACTAATAACAATAACAATAGCACTAATAATTTTTTTGGAATGGGTATAGTTTGATAAAAGTATTAATAATGAGTTAAAAATATTTAATCTGATGAACAATTGTTATTTTATATCATACATTATTCAGTTTTTAAAATCATAATCCAAACAAGGTCTACTCTTGTATTTGGTTGGTATAAGACTCTTTTAATTCATAACTTCTCTCTCTCCTTCCCTTCTTTTCTCCTTCTCACCCCTCTCTCCTCCTCCTCTCTCTCTCATGCTATGTTTATTATGAATAAACAGAGTCATTTTACTATAACATTTTTCGCATTCTGGATTCAGATTAATTGTATTCTTAGAGAACATACATGTTCCTCCTTTCCCTCTATGTCCTGCAAGTGGGCTGGTAGGTCAGAGGCTTAGTTAGATTTAGGTTTAGATTTGTGTTAATAGTAGTACATAGGTGGTGCTGTGTACTGTGTCACATCAAGAGGCACCTAATGCCTGTGTTTTACTCTTTTAGTGTTAATTTTAATTTCGAGGACTCAGCTGTTGTCAGCCTGATTGAACCATTATCAAGTTCTTCAGCAACATCTTACTTAATTGTTTTAGCACTGATGATCCTTCATTTTATTAGGGGCTGAAAAATGGTGATTATTTTTCTGTCATTTTTCTGCATTTCTTAGTTGGAATTCTTTTATTAAGATAATTTTCTTTCATCAACTATTTGGTTAACCTACAATGCAATTTGTACAAAAATAGTGCAGAGTAAATGGTTGATTCTTTCCTTTTATTATTTGCAAAATAATTAGTTTGATGCTTTAGCAACTTCCAAAGGTGACCAATTATTTTTTTTCAAGTATCATTTAAATTTGGATTTTAAAAAGCAAATCCATTGCTGCTTTTTTTCAGTGCTCAAATTGTCTCATCTGTGGGAAATGGGAACTCTTTCAAGTTGCTCTGGATCCCTGACAACCCTGGTAGCTCTTGATAACGTTCTTGTTTTATGGTATGAGACAATGCGCCAAGTTCAGTGTATACCTTTTGTACCCTTGTCCTCAAATTACCCATTTCTCCAAGGATCATGATTCCTTTTGCTGGTAAATAGTGTTTGGAGACCACAATCTAGGTCTCTGCACTGTCATTGCTACTGGACTTTCATTGGTTATAGGCTTTTTCAGTAGGCAGCTTATTTAAAAAGAGAAAATCATCATGAGCTTGTATTTATTTTCAGTGTAAATGTTAAGATTATAGGGTTTCTTAATATAAATACTTTTTTTGGTTTATACTTTTAAAGATGCCGAAATGCTTAATTCCTAACAATATTGATGTAACTACTTACTTGTTTTAAAAGTGTTATTACTAATATAGTGACCAACAGCAAGATTACTGGATAAATAATAAATTTCTCTGCTCTTCTCTGTGTTTTGACAGCATATCTTATTGAGAACACAGTAAAAATACTGTGTTTTAAGGTCAGTTGGGATAATTGTTTTCTTTCTGTGGTTGTGACGCCAACTGGATATACAGCAAGCTTCATTTGTCTTAGTTTCTTTTTTATTTTTAATAATTGATTTTTCCCTCTTGTTTCTTTTTCATTTTTGATATGTAAAAAATTTACATTGTTCAAAATTAACACTATATAGTGAGGTACATTCAGAGAAATCTCTCATTCATTCCTGTCTCCTCCACCCTGTTCCTTTAGTCCTCTTATAGGTAACCAACAACTCTTACTGGTTTATGTATTCTTTCATATTTTAAGCCAGTATATCCTTTGGATAGATTCCTAAAATAGGGATTGCTGAGTCAAATGCATGTGCATATGTAAGTTGGCTAGATATTTTATAACACCATATTTTTAGTTAATTGTAATAATATAGTAAAAAATGATAATGTGGTTTCCTCCTTTCATGGCTTTTTACTTCATGTTGTCCTTTAATAGAAGGCTTTAAAATTTCCAGGTGAATGGGCCTTCCTGTTTCTTTTTGGTTTTAAATTTCTAGTTTTATTGTATTATGATCAGAGTGTTGATCATAATATTTCTAGATTATAGAACCACGGTATTTTCTTTGTTCTCTAATATATAACCAGATTTTTGTGACTATTACCTTTGCTATTGAGGAGGCATATTTTCTTTTTCTTTTTTTTTTGAAATGGGAATTTCGCTCTTGTTATCCAGGCTGGAGTGCAATGGCATGATCTCGGCCCACTGCAATCTCCACTTCCCAGGTTCAAGCGATTCTCTTGCCTCAGCCTCCAGAGAAGGTGGCATTACAGTCATCTGCCGCCACACCCAGCTAATTTTGTATTTTTAGTAGAGATGGGGTTTCTCCATGTTGGTCAGGCTGGTCTCGAACTCCTGACCTCAGATGATTTTACCCACCTCAGCCTCCCAAAATGCTGGGATTATAGGCGTGAGACACTGTGCCTGGCTGAGGAAGCATATTTTCTATTATTTGGAGGTCGTGTTTGATATATATATCCCTAAACCTATTTAATGCATTATGTTGTTCAAATCTTTTATGGTCTTACTTATTTTTTGTCCAGCTATCAGGTCTTACTGAGAGTAGTTTATTAAAATCTCCCGTTATTGGTGTATTTCTTTCTCCTTACACCTCCCATAATTTGTACTTTATATGGATGGTTTTTGTACTATTTTGGTGCATAGATAATAATAACTGCATAGATAATAATAACATCATTTTGAATTACGGTGTTTAGCACTCTAAAATATTACTGTTTGTCTTGTTAATGGTTTTTTAAAATCTATCTTAAAATCAATACCACAATCTATGCTTTTTTATTGCTTCTGTTGTTGTCACCACCCAGCTATGACAGAATGGGCTTCCCAACCAAAATTTGTTGTGGATGTCAAGAATGGTGATGCCACTCATACACCTGGAAGATATGGAAAGGTTATGGTTCACATAATGGGGCTCTCTGTGAGAGCAGGGCAGGCCCCTAAACAGGTTCAAAAGTAGCTTGAAGCCAGTAGTCTCAGCTGCTTGGGAGGCCTATGTTGGAGGATTGCTTGAGCTTAGGCGTTCAAGACCAGCCTGGTCAACATAGCAAAACCCTGGCCAAAAAAAAAAAAAAAAAGATGGAATTCTTCTTGTTGGGAAGAAATATTTAAAAAATAAATAACTTGAGAATAGGAAAAATATACTAGATTGGCTTTTATTGTGATTAAGGGTGGGGCTATAATAATTGTTTTTATGCAATCTGGGCCTTGTGTTGTTTGAACTTTCCACTGGTACCAAAGGAGGGAACTCCTGAGCTTTCTTATCAGCTTGTTCAAATGTAGGACAATATTAGTTTCATTTCATTACTTTCTTTTCTTCTTAATGAGCTCCAATTATACCATGTTGGATCTTCCTTGACTGTCTTCTGTTTCATTGATTGTCATCTTAGAAGCTTTCTGCCATAATGACCTCTTTTTCCTTTTTTAAAATTTCATATTCATTTTCTTGGGAGTTTTACTGCTTTATTTCAGTGTGCCTTATTATATTTTTCTTCAAATATACTTTCCTTTATACAGCTTTTCCTCTTATGTCTTGGTCTGGTACTTCCTTACTGTCTTGTGAGTTTTTTTTAATGGTTTTAGGGTTTTTAATTTGACATTTTATCAAAAAATTTTAGTTCTCTTTTTTTAGCCCAAGGACTGGATAACCTAGTCTGCTATTCATAAAAGTAAAAATGCCTACCTAGTCATAGATGGTTTCCTGAAATTGCAAATGTTCTGCTAGAAGTCTGAGCAAGAATATGCAAAAGGGAGTGCTATATTTCTTTGATTCAGAGATATTGGGTGGCTGTTTACTGGCTTATTTAGGACCGTAAAATGTTTCCCCAAAATTTCCTTTCCCCATCTCATTTCATGCTATTTTGAGTCTCTGTCCAGCTGTGAAGGCCTGTAACCTTGTGTTTATTCTGTTTGAAGTGTTGATTCTCATAAGATAGAGCATTCAAATATGTAAATAAATTATTGAACTATTTAGTATGTTTATTGGGCAATGTTTGTTTTTCTCATTGGGAAGATTAAAGGGGTAAAATGGAGAAGCAATTCATATTTCTGGGTCTTGCTGAGCTTAGTCTAGAATTCCTTATTCTGTCTAAAATGGATTCTAGATGTTGGGAGAAGGACAAATCTAGTCACATGGAATAGAATCCTTTGTTAAGGTGTTTATTTAAGCATTTGGATTTTGGAAGATCAGTGTTTCTAAACCTTTCTGTATTTGAAAAAGCTTAAAAATTTTTTTGACCTGTATTCAGGAATTAACTGTATTTGTTCTAAGACTTCTTTTTTCACTCTTAGGTAAGAAAAAAAAATTAATAAAAATGACAAGTAGAAGACTTGAGGAGTCCATGGGGGCTGTTCAGATGGGGTTGGTCAATATGTTCAAAGGAGTTCAAAGCAAGGTTTTGCCACCCCTGAGCCCAAAGGTGGTTACAGAAGAAGAAGTAAACCAAATGGTAATGTATCAGGGAATTAATATGTAAAATACTTGATGCAGTCTCCTTAGGAGAATGACAGTTGCTACTTAGCATTCTCAGAATGCCAAACAGAATTACTGACTGATAAATATCAATTTAGTTGTAATGGTAGCTTTCTGCAGAGTGTAGGTACCTTTTAAAGCCTGAGAAGTTTTGAAATTGCATACCTACTTAAAAATAGAGGCTTATTGCAGTAAGACTTTACAAATGAACTATAAAGATTTTCTAAATATTAGGTACCACCGTGAAAAACTGTCATTTGGTTCAAAAACAGTCAAAGATCAGAATTTCATAGGATTCAACTTAATAATTTGCTACCTACTGATTGGCAAGAGTGATTTTTGTTTGTATATTTATAGAACACAGACAATTAAAATAATGACTAAGTGGTATCTAAAAAAATATGTGTTTTCCTATTCCTTAGAAGAAAACGTATATATAACTTTATTTATAATGATTGGTGATAATTTAATTATGAACCACATGCTATAGCAAATATTAGTGAACATGTATAGTGCCAGGGATAGTATTCACTACATTTTAAAAACTAATCTTAAGTTGCATTCCAACTAGAGAAATAAAATCAATCATTATTCTCTTTTGTGGTGGTTGTTGGTACATATTTAAAGAAACTACCAGCATTTTGCTTTTAAGACCTAATTATTTTAATTTAAATCACGATATAGCTGACACCTCTTAACATTTTATAATCATTATCTGGGTTCCAATAAAATAAAAACTTAACCAAGTTGAAAGCTGTATTAGAAATATACCTTCATTTAAATGGATTCAATCACAGAAATAAAATTTTCAGAAAAATAAGCATTCTTAAAGTACATTGTATTTAACCCAAGGCAAAATAAATCAGCAAAGTTATATATCTTCACGTGTTAAAAAAATCTTGGCATGTACTTAAGCATTATGTAGCTGTCAATGATCATAATCTCCCTGCACATAAAATAGGAACATTCTATAACCACAGTAACTATCACTGGTTCTGGGTAGCTAATTCCTTGTTGGGTTAGTTTTATTTAAATGATAGGTTACATTTTTATCTCATAACATTGGAAAGGGTAAAAGCCATTTGTGTTCTTACTGGGGTGTCTGAATGTGACTTGCTGTAGGATCTGCTGATTAGCTCAGGACTCTTTCAAAGTGAGGTCTAAATGCACTCTCGTGATGTCTCTAAAGTTCAAACTCATTCCTAAGTGATGGAGTCACACTTCCTATATCCTTTAAAATTTTGTAAGATTTCTCTCTAACATCATATAATAAAAACCCAAAAGCTTTGTTGGCATATTGTAATGTTATTTGAGAAATAGAAGTATTTCAAACTCCTTATTTTTGAAGGCCTTAAGTGATTTTACAAACCGAGAGTTTTATGCTCAGATGCCTCTTCTGGGCATAAATGTTAAGCTCTTTGGACATGTTTCTGTGCAATTTCTTGACTTTTTTCCTCAGGTTCCTTTGTGTGATTCCTTCAAAATCATGAGGAAACAGAAACCACATGTCATTTTACATTACTGTGCAAAGACCTCAAAAGTGTATGGGTATTTCTCTTACATAATTTACTTATTTTAAATATTTCATAAGGGAACTTAGTGGCATTCCAGAATTATCCTGAAAGCTGCTAACACAAATTATTCATTACTGGTACTTATGAAAACACTTTTTCAGTACAACCACTTATGAATCTTTGGTTCTTATTGTTTTACTTTCTAGCTGACGCCCTCAGAGTTCCTAAAGGAAATGTCCCTCACCACTGAGCAGAGACTAGCAAAAACACGTTTGATGTGCCGACCACAGATCATTGAACTCTTAGATATGGGAGAAACAACACATCAGAAGGTAGCTGCTTTCTGTCATACTTGCATATAAAGTGGGCCTTGGCACAATGCAAAAATTCCAGAACAATAAGTAAAATGTGTTTCTTGGCTACCTAATCTTTTATTGGGTTTGTTTTCAATCCTCCTTTTCTGCCTCTGCATATCTTCATATCTGTGATACGGTGTGGTGAAGACTGCAATAAACAAGTGCAAACCTCTTTTAAAATAACTTTTGACTAGTCACACTTCTTAGCTACTTCCGAATACTATTTGACACTATGGTTTACACAGGTTAGGAGTAATTCTAAGAATTATGTTAGTCAAGCCCAATTAAGTTATTGTCTTAGCTTAACAAATAATCTTTCCTTACCTGAGCCACCCACTAGAAAGGAAGGAGGTGGAATTGTTAAAGTAGGCATTCGTTGTCTCTTCTGGCTCATTTCCAATAATATGTATCCTTTCAGTTTCTAAAGAATAGCAGTTTTGTCATGTTTCCATATTCAAATGTAAACCATACATTCTAGGCTTTAGGAGCATATGATTATAAAAGGTCTGGTTTCCTATTGTTTAATTAATTTCTAAAATTATATCCTTTACTTTTAATGCACAAATTATGGTATGAACCTCCCATAGTTGGGCTGCTGAAGATTAACCTCTTCTCAAATAGTTCCCCAGAATTTTCCTCTGAAAATTCCTGAGAGTTTTTCAATGTTATGTTCCTCATGAAGAATGAGTCTTTGAGGCTTGTCTGCTCTTACTGCTACGCCATTGCTTCCCTTGTCTAGGATTTGCATAAACTTCACCATTCTGAGCATCGCTAGCTTTTTATTGTTTTGTCTGTTCCCTACAACCACCTTCTAAATTTGAGGGGAGGGAACATGGTCTTTTCCAAGACATTTATTCTAATTAAGGGCCATTTCCTCTTTTCTGAAAGCATAACACAAATCAGGCTATGAGGAATTTTTCATGTGTACTCCTAGTGTGTATATAATGTGTTTTGACTGCTATAGAGGATGGGGAAATCAGATCACTTTCCATTATATCTTCTCCCCTCTCCTTTTAATTCAGTTGGTTATTTTTAATTTATATTCTGAATTTAACCATTTATCTCTTAGACGGGTGTTAGTCATCTACTAATTTCTTCAAGAAGAGCTTATGAAGACTGTATTTCTTTGTTTTATGTGTTTGATAATATTTGTGTCTTGCCTTCATACTGAACTGCAGATTTGTTACTTAGGAAATTCTTGGGCCACAAATTCTCATAACAGCCCTGCAGGCATTTTCCTCACAACCTTCTGGCTTTAAATGATGGCATGTAGAAGTCTGAAGCCAGCTTGATTTCTCCCCCTATAAATTAATCTTTTAGCCCATGTGCCCAAAGATTGTTTTTACTTAAAGTTCAGTATTAGGATACCACTACATTATTCCTTAGGTACCGTGGGCCTTTATTTTATTTTCAGGAAGTTTTTTTTGAATTATCAAATGTTTTTCCATGTCATTTTTCAATTATGAATATGTTGGACCTTCTTTGGCCTTTTACAGCTTGCATTTCCTCTCTCATTTATTTGTAACTTTCTGTTCATTTCCATTTCATTGTCATTACATTCATTAGGCTATCCTCTGTGTCCCTTGCTTTGAGTTATGTGTATGTGTTTTTTATGATTCATTTTTGACCAGACCAGACCTGGTTCAACAGACCTCTTTAATAATCCCACTTCTCACCAATTCCTCTACCACCATTCCAGCTTAAGCCACTATTGTCTAGAATACTGACATAGCTTTTCTGTTTCCATCTCATTCTTCCTCTGCCCCGGTTATCATAAAGCAGTAAGAGTAATTTTTAAAAATGTAAACATATCACTTCCATGTTGTCTCATAGCATTTGACACAGTGAGCATCACTTTTTGTACCTTCTTATTTTCTTGTATCTGACATGGTATACTCATTTGATTTTTTGCTTATTTTATTTGTTGGATTATTCACTCATTTCTGATCACTAAATATTAGAGCTCTTATTACTTGGCACTTGAACTTCTTTCTCTTCTGAACTCGCTCCCTAAGTGATCTCTTCTAGGAAGAAAGGCTTTAAATTCTACTTTTTGATGATTACTTTTATATTTATATCTCCTGCCACAGTCTATCCCCTGACTATTTGGGGGAATGGGAGGTGGCTGCCCTTTTAGTTAGACAGCCAAGAGAAGGCCCCTCTAAGATGACTTCTAAGTAGAGGTCTGAAGCAAGTCATGCAAAGGTTTGAGAATGGCACTCCAGTTAGAAGGGAAAGCAAGCAGAAAAGTCAGCTCAGTGTATGTTTGGCAGCTCAAACTTAATTTATTTAATATCTATTTGTAGCTTTACATTCCATCTCTAAAAGCCTGATCTTTCCTCTTTTGTCTCTTTCCTCCTGCTTTTCATACCCCTACTTATCTGTTTTCCCAGACCAAACACTTTGGAGTTGTATCTCTGATGCCTTTCTTTTTGTTACATCTTGTGATCTAATGATAAGTGCTATAAATTCTGCCTTCACAAATGCATCTTTAATCAGACCAATTCTCACCATGTTCTCCACCACCGTTCCAGTTTAAGCCACCATTATGTAGAATATCAAAATTGCCTCCCTGTTTCTGTCTCATTCTCTCCCAACCCCCATTATCACAAAGCAGTAAGTGATTTTTTAAAACATAAATCAGAAAGAACATGCTACTTCCACGTTTAAAACCATCCAGTAACTTCCCGTTACTCTCATAATAAAATCTAAACTCAGTACCATAACCTCTAAGGTCCTGTACTGTCTAGTTCTGCCTCCCTCATGGACCTCTTTCCCTTCTACTCTTCTCCCTCTCCCTTCTCACTGCGTTTTTTCTATGCTGCTCTTCAAACACTCAGAGACAATTTCCACCAGAGAGATGTTGCGCTTGCTTTCCCTTCTAACTGGAGTGCCACTCTCAAACCTTCGCATGACTTGCTTCAGACCTCTACTTAGCAGTCTTCTTAGAGGGGCCTTCTCTTGACTGCCTGTCTAAAAGAGCAGCCACCTCCCATTGCCCTATCTCCTCGTCCTGCTTTAGCTTTCTTCACCTTTCGCTACCTGACTTTATATTATATATTTCTATATGTTTTGTATGATCGCTTGAGCCTCAAGAACGTCAGCTTCATGAGGTTAGGGGATTTCTTTGGCTTTGTTCACCACTATATATTCAGCATGCACAAAAGAACCTGGCACATGTTGGAAACTCAATATTTATTGAATGAAGATATGAATTTTTAATCTCTCCTAACTGTTCACTTCTTTACATTCTTAAATATTTTCTTGGTGCTCTTTGATCTTTTTTTCCATTATGTTCTTTGAGCTTGTGGTGAAATGATATAGTTAAGACTGATTGCTTCATGGCAGAATTTAACTAACCAGGAATTAAAGAGTATATACTGTATTATTCCACTTACATAATCAAAAAAACTAACCTATGATGTGAGAAATAGATTAGCCATGCTACCTTTGTCATAAATCAAGTGACCATATATTTAATAATTGGTTTGGGGGCTTTCTAATCTGTTACATTTAATTTTATGATAAATCTTGTGCTGATATCTCATTATCTTTATGATAAATCTTGTGCTAATATCTCATTATGTTAATTACTGTGGTAAGTAACAGTATATGATACGTAATAATATAATTATAATGTTTTGCTACCTGATACAGCAAATCCTCCTGTCTTGTTCTTCAGATGTATCTTGTCTGTTCTTGGTCCTTTGCATTTCCATATAAATTCAATCAGTCTTTTCATTTTAAAAAAAAAAAAACCTGCTGGGATTGTTTTTAATGATTGCATTGAACTTTTAAATAAATTTGGGGAGGAAATTTGAAATCCTTAAAATATTGATTCTTTCAATTCATGAAAATAGTATATTGCTGAATTCAATTAGATCTTCCTTAATTTCTCTCAATAATGTTTTTAGTTTCTGGATAAAGGTCTTATACATCTTTCATTAGATTTATTTCAATGTGTTTTACATTTTAGGATACTATTTTAAATAATATTGCTTATAAATTTCATTTCCTAAATGTTCATTGCTAATACAGAGACATAGGATTGATTTTTGTATATTGACTTTATAGTCAGTGACCTTAATATTCACTTATTAATTCTAATAAGATAATTATTAGAATTATTTATTTGTAGGTTAATTTGAATTTTCAAAATAAACAATTACTTTGTCTGGGGAAAATGACAGTTTCGTTTCTTCCTGTTTGATTTCTAATACTGAAATAACCTTGAGTTTCTGAGACGAACCCAGCTTGGACATGATGTGTTATCCTTTTTATACAGTGCCGGTTTCAGTTTAAGTTTACAAATGTATCTCTCTCTCTCTCTCTCTCTCTCTCTCTCTCATCTATCTGTCTATCTAGCTATGGTTTATGAGTGACACTGGCCTATAGTTTTCTTTTCCCTCAGTGTCTTTCTCAGGCATATAAAGGAGGTTATGCTGACTTTATAGACTGAGTTGGGAGACGTTTCATTTTTTGTTTTTCTTTTCTTTGGGACAGTTTCTATAATACTTGAATTGTTTCTTTTATGTTTGGTAGAATTGGCTTGTAAAGCTATCTGGGTTTGGAGTTTTCTCTGTAAAAGGTTTTTGTTTACAGATCTAATGTCTATAATAGTTTTAGAGCTATTCGGATGTTCTATTTCTTCTTGTGCCAGTTTTGATAAATTTTTATAGTATTTTTCTAGGATTTTGTATTTTATCTATATTTTCACATTTATTGACATAATATTTATTATCTTGTTACTGAGTTCGGGTTCTGTTGTAATATTCCCATTTCCATTCTTTATGTTTGTTCTTTGTGCCTTCTGTCTTACTTTTTTGATCAGACTCACTAGGTATTTTGTCAGTTTTAAAGACCTGAATTTTGCTTTGTTGTTTTCATAGTACAGTTGCTTTTATTTCATTAATTTCCTCTCTCGTTTTTGTCATGTTAATTTTGTTCTTTCTTTGGGTTTATGTTGCTGTTTATTCTAACTTATTAAGATGGATACTTACAGCTGCAGTTTTCAAACTATGTGCCAAGATGCCCCAGGGGGTAACCATGAACTCACAGGGCATCATGGGATAGTCTAAATTTTCAAGGGAAACCAGGCAATACCCAAAATCGGTTGGATGCTACACAGGCTATTAGCTTGGGGTAATTAGTAGTTTCGGCCTTAGATGATGCTATATTCACTTTGATGATGTCAGGCTTTACAAAAATGGCTTCTCAGTGATTGGTTGGATAAAAAGCAAGTACTTTGTGAAAATCAAAATAGAACAGGAAATGAGGGGCCAAGTCCAATTTGGTTCTGTTGTGCAGTGCCCAACTAGTGCACACATCCTATTAGTAAGCTTGTTATTTTGATTATTGTTTTGTATGATAAGAATTCATTGAGAGTAACCACATATTTACCCCTTTATTATTCTCTTTTCCTTCCTGGATCTCTGAATTTCTAAGATAAATTCTCTTCTCCGTAAAGAAGACCCTTTGGTATTTCCTTTAGAAGTTGGTAACAACATTTTTCAATTTTTATTTCTCTGAAAATGTCTTTATTCAAACTTTGTTTTTGAAGGGACTTTTCCCAAGTAAAAAATACTATGCCTGCAGAGGTTTTTTT